CTGGCTTGGTGTGCCAATGGTCCTGCTCCACCTGGCTAATTGGTCTTGCGGCCGAAATCATTGTCCTAGGGCGAGCTCGCACAACTTGACTCGCTCCCTGCCTCTCCCTATGCTCCGTACGATATTGTTCTGCCAAACCTACTGCATCGTCATCGCCTAGTGGATCAAACCTTGCGTTGTTGCTTCCTCTTGGGCCATCTCTCTCGTGTGTCTGCAAATCGTTTCGGATGCGGGCGCAAGGAAATCCACAAAGTGTCGCAGGGGCGTATCGTTAGCAACGAAGGAGTTTACACTGGGAATGTTTTGATGTTTTGCAAACAGATAGGTAAAGCGAATAATACCAAAGGACCAAGGCTTGCCTGTATTCCAAGGGTCACAATCAATTCTAGCCAATTTGAAAATTTTCAAAAATTCGCCCAAACTGTCTTTTCAACACCCTATCATGACCTATCGTTTCACTTATTGCCCAACGCCTAACCTCTCCCACTACGCAATTCCGCCACGTGTACGACCACGATCCACTGCCCCTTTCCCCTTCCCTGTCTATTCCACTTCACTTCAGCACGTGCTACGCCGCCTCTCAAGCCCCGCGCCACACCACTTGGCCACCCTTCACGGTCGGCCCTCCTCTTGGTCGGTCCCTCCACTCGGCCACCCTTCGCGGTCAGCCCTCCTATTGGTCGGTCCCCCCACTCGGCCACCCTTCGCGGTCGGCCTTCCTCATGGTCGGTCACCTCTCTCGGTCGGCCTTGACCATGCCGATCTTGCCCTCATTTTCTTCATTATTCCCTTCATTGGACTAAAGCTGCACTTGGGAATGGGGGACTACTGACATGGGTAAGCCCATAAAGATTATAGCTCACCGTTTATGGCCCAATACATATCTCAAAAACTAAAGCCCAGCACTGTTAAAGCCCCACATAGCAATAAGAACCAATGACATCAAGACACGTGGTGAGAAAAGGACAAGCCACATCAGCAGACAAAAATCTGCAAAGTTATTGCCACGACACATCGCCATTAATGAGGCCCCTTACAGCATTTATTGCGATAACCCCTCTCCGTCGGAACAGCACGCCCTCACTCTGAACAAGGCAAGCTACAACATAAACTTTCGGACAAGGTGGCAGGTCGGAAGGGACAACAAAATGATTACCAGAGGATATAAGCAGGCGTTGAAGACAAGAAGAAGGTTAAGCTTTTCTATCTTTAGTCTATCTCTACAATCCACTTCTCTTCCTAATTTGCTCGTCGGAGGATTCGCTGGGGGACTCCTCGTTCTCCATTGGACTTTTGTGCAGGTTCCCCCGTGGGCTTGGTCATTCGGACGTAGACTTGAGGAGCGTGGATCAATCCGACCCGTCCTGTCATCACGAACTGTATCATCAGAGGTGAAACTTCAATGCTTTCTTTATAAATATTTTATGATTCAATTATGATTTTCAATATCAAATTATTTTAATTATTTAATAAAATTTTTTGTTTTGTATAATCTTTTGTTCTATCGTAGACTTTGGGTACTATAGAAGTTTGGCATTCCCTACAAATTAAATAACTAAATTTTTATGTAATCAATCAGTCAGTCAAAATATTTTATAAATATTTATAATTATAAAATAATTAAATAACTAAAATTCAGTCAAAATAATTAATATTTCAAAATTAATTTTTACATAAAATAATCATTTTTATTTTCCAATTGAAAATACCCTTTGTATGTCTCAATAAAGTCCTTTGCCCTGGTAGGGAAAAATGCTTGCTACCCCCAGCTGGGGGTGACACCCAGTGAGGTAATATTTTATAAATATTTATAATTATAAAATAATTAAATAACTAAAATTCAGTCAAAATAATTAATATTTCAAAATTAATTTTTACATAAAATAATCATTTTTATTTTCCAATTGAGAATACCCTTTGTATGTCTCAATAAAGTCCTTTGCCCTAGTAGGCCATGTTATGATCATAGATCTGGAAATTAGTCAAAAGCTCTATTAGTTGTTCTGCAATTTTTTTCTTATCACTTTTATTTATTTAGAAAATTGCATAAGAACTAATTAAATCTTAATTTGAGTACTTTTTTCGATTTCTCTTCGTTTCCTACGATTTTTCCGTTTAGTTATAGTACATAAAAATCTTGAAATGAGATCCATCAAAACAGCTACCTCAATTCTTTCTTTGTAAGGTTTGCTATTGTTAAAGCTTCAGGTGGGATCATTTTTCTCATCTCTTATCCTTGTTGTCGGTATCTATATCATCTTTGTTGTTGATATCTATATCGGGCTAGGAGCCGCTGTGGTCGGAGTTGGGGTGGGGATCTAACCACCCCTAAACCTTTACAACAATGATTCATCCCACTAAAAACATCACCACTAATAACACTAATGCATTAAAAAAGTCAAAAAAAAAACACAACTCCAAGACCAAAACATCACATCATTAATGGCGGGACCCACTGCCACCTAATTAGTGGAAACACTAATTAGTGCTCCCAAGCATTTTTCTAAACCTTTATCAGGCTTGAAAAAAAAAACGTACTACTATTTTTTTTTTTTCCCCATCTATCAATATCTCCAAAATTGATGGGACAAAATAAGCATTTTAAAACTAGACGGGACCTATAAGCATTTAATTTATTTATTTTTTTTTATAAAAAAATTATTCCTACCCTCTCGCAGGTTCAAGACAGCGCTTCTTACAGAGATTACCAAAGTATCCTGTTAGCCGTTCCGAGTAAGGAGACTATAACCTGGGAACTTGCCTCCCAAGACAAGCTTGGCTTAAGGTAGGACTCGCACACCGGGAGAGCATTGAACCCACAACAAGTGCTGATTAGATAACTTGCAGTCCAACCTCCTAACCAACTATGCTTCGCCCAGGAGATTGGCCCAAGAGAAGAGAATTGAACCTGTGACCTAAGAACTTAATCTCCAAGTCTTAACCACAATGCCACTCATCCCTAGGTTATAAGTATTTGAGTTCATCGCAAAAAGAAAAATGTTTGAGGGTCACAATTTTTGTGGCCACAATGGCTCAAAATTGTCAAAACGACGTTGTTTTGACATATTTTACATCCAAAACGACGTCGTTTTGACAATTTTGAACCATTGTCTCTAGCATTGTTGTGGCACAAAATCTAACTCATAATTTATCCAAAGAAATAAAATTAAAAATGATGCAATCAAGTGTGGGCCAGGCTGGGTCAGACTGAAATTGCCCTATCAACACATTATGTTCCATCTGAAAAGTAGTTTGTCCTTTGTTTCTCATGGTATGCATGTACATGAAATGCATTGCAGAGATAGATGTACCAAAGTAGTGTCAACCCTCGTGATGGGAGGCATCTCATTAATGAAGCAAAACCACCCAAGGCGGTTTGGCATAGCTATCATGTGACAGTAATAATTTAAGACTACACAAAGGGGGTTAGTATTATTATGACACCCAAATATCTTCACAAATAATTTATTTTTTTCCTTCCTTTTATCTTCTTTTTTTGAAGCTGCAAGTTATGATTGGAATTCATGGAATCATGGTCTTAAAATTTAAGATGATATGCTAATATTCCAAGCTTTAATACCAACAAGAAACAGTTTCATTCCAACAAAACACACACATCATGTGACAGAAAATAGATGTGATTCAAATTGGAGATTTATTGATGTAATTTCAAGATAATAGAAAGTATATGAAGTGAAACATCAAGGAAAGGACTGATGCAAAAATGCATCAAAGCTATAGAAGAAATCCATCTCAATCCTCCACCACTGTCACCACAACCTCCACCAGCATTGGGACCACCACATCTCCCTTCAATGTTTCTAGTCAAATACCCACTGCCTTAAATTATAAATTCAAAACCTCCACTGGTATTTAATTCTTTTAGTTTGCTGACTTAAATTAAAAATTCCACACCCACCGGTATTTAATTCTTCTGACAATTACAGTACCCAATGACTTGAATTATAAATTCAACTAACCTTATAATTTACAGCAATCTCATCCTAGTCAAATTGGGTTTGGCTTCTCTCTAATCACCTCACAACTTAAGAGAGTGTTTGAATTTAATAGACCCATTTCAAGATCGATTTTGGTAATTTGAACTGTTTACTTTTTATGACTCATTGAATAAAATATTCATACAAAAAATCAAAATGATCGAATATTGATAGTTATATGTTTGAATCAAATTTATATTACAAAATCAATTAGAGCAAATCCCCCACTAAAGTTAATTCAATTTTAGCAATGTCCCACCTAAATTAATTGATCCTTCAAGGGGTATATTATGCTTTTAAACAACTTCCAAGTGGCCAATTGCAATTTTTCACATCTTTCCATGAGGCAATGTGTGTGAAAAACAAATCGTATAGCTTGTGTACAATGGCATGACTTCCACAATGTGAGTGTGTGCTTATTTCTATAGCCTATTCTTCCTCCAATTTGTGGTTCAATGCATCATCACTTTCATTCTCTTTGTTCTCTTTGTTTGGCTAAACTACCTTGACCAATTGCTTGTTGGCCACCAAATTTGTAGATGAGGGGAAATGGTTTTTTGTTCCCTTTGATTTGATTATCTTTCTCTTCCAATCGATTTGGGTTCATCAAGATAATGACATCCATTGAAATAGCAAACAGAAAGAAGGGAACACCGTGAACTAATCCTATTAAGTTGTGGCTTGAGGAGCTAACTCAACTAGGGAAGCAGTTGTTAGACGGATCTACATTCATGTCTCGTACCCAAGAATGAATGCCTTCACTATATTCATTATCTATCAACCAACAATGAACAACTAATAATTTCCTAGACCGATAATAACAAAAAATAATATGTGAAACAGGTAGCATTTGAAGCAGCTGGCTCAATAAAACCTGTGTCTGGTGACCAAATTAAAATGGCTATTTAAATGAAACTTCTACCTCACATAATTCCAAGCACCAATTCAGAAAAATAAATTAACAAGTCATTGACTAAATCAAAGCATAATTCAGAGAACATGTACATGGCCAAAACGAACATCTTGCTAATTTATCACAAAATAGAGTGTATAATAACTCCCTTTACAGATCCATCAGCACATGAAATCAACAAACTTGAAGTTCAATGAATAAACAGCCTTTATAGAAAAGATATGTGCTTTTGGTTACAGGGCAATTGGGCATCACAAATTACAATTGCCAACCCGCTCTGACAGAAGTGAACAAATAGAATTTGATCTCAAGAGTAAATATATGCAAGTAAAAATATACAGTACTATTACCTTTTGAACCCATTGAAACAATGGATTTGCTAGCCAACGCAAATGCAAGATAAAAGAGCAGCTCGAGTTTGTAACTAAGTTTCTGATACAGGTGGTAATCGTTCCTGAAAGAAAAGGAAAAATTGTGAGTACATCTCAGTTTTCACCATATAGTAAACCAAACCAAGCCTTAAGTCCCATCAAATGGGGTTCACCATATAGTAAACATGAGAGAGAAATGAAGCAAGAGAATTAGTTTACCTCAGAGAACCGCACATGCAGGTGTTGCACCTTTTTGGTTTTAACAATTGTTTCCCACTTGGGATCAACAGATGCCATCTTGGAAGCCTGGTGTCTAGAATTCATTATGGTACCAAGGTGTGAACGTGAAGAAGAGTTCTTTGAGGACATGGAAGGCAAAGTACGCCAAAGCCAAGACTCAGATGGGGATTTTGGTAGAGGTGGGGGGAGAGGAAATTGTGAGTTGATTTCTTGATTATTTTCTTCTACATTGTCCACTTTTGTAAGCTGTCGCGGCTGATCTTCAAAATCCCGGTATACATTGCTGGCCGATTTTAAATTTGTAAATGTAATCGACTCCTGACAAAGATCTTGATCCTTTCGAAAACCCTTTCGCATCTTCTTCCCCACTTCCTGATCTGATTTGCCAGAAAAATATAGTAGACTGGAATCAACATGGTTCAAACTTTTAGGTTGCAATGTAACTTTCTCATCCATAATATTTGACTTCTCAATGACTTTGAGTGAAGGATCTACTAAGGGAGTTCCTTCCAATCCCCCAACTTTTTGGGCAATTTCCAAATCATTATACATCGACTTGGGTAGCCCCTTCCAATCAGAAGAAAATGAGTTCAATTTCAGAGATACCACCTTGTGTACAGAATCTACATACAGGGTTTTCTCAACCACAGGACTCGCTGAGCCTATTTCCCTTTTATTGTTTTCATCAATTTCTGCTTCTTTGGAGATATCAAGAAATCTTTTTTCTGCAGAAAAGTTGGATTGAGGTAATTCGTTCTGCTGGGGTGATACAATAGTACCCTGCAAATGCCTGTAGAGAAACGATCCTTCCAATTTCTGAGAACTACTTTGGTGAGGAACTTGGTTGTACTTATTGCTCACTTCATTCTTATGTTCACGCAGCTCAGGTTTTTGCGGTTCAACAATTGATCTTTGCTCATGTGTCACAACCCTCATACGCTGTAAGAATTAGAAAGTCAACTGATCAACAAAACTTTTTGGTACAAGGTGGTGAAAACAAGAGATGAATTGATGAATGGATAATAGACAACAGAACTTATATACCTCATTCTTCGTTTCTTGGCCACGAGATGAAGATTTAGCATGTGTTCTGCTGAGAGTAGACATGGGTGTCCGATGCGTTCGCACACTGATACCCGGAACTGGATTCAAAAGGCAAAACCTAGGTAATAGCCCACAAACTCTGGTTGATAAATTTCCAGGTTCATTGTAGTCATCATCACCTTCATCATCACTTTCTTCTTCTTCTCTGTTATATTCAGCATAATTTGGTAAAATATTAGGCCTTGAACGATACACTGGTGGTCTCTGATCCGCACTTATTACCTTCCTCAACTGGCTCGGTTGCTCTTGAGCCACTGGTGGCTTCCAGGAAGCATATTGAGGTGTTTCACAAGCCATTGCCTTAGCAGCTGGCAAAAACCGACCCATCATGAAATCCCGAGTTTGCACATCCGTTGAAAAGGTTCCAGATGGTTTCACCTCTGGACCATCTAATCCACTCAAGCCACTTAAACTACAGTTTAAGAAGAATGATTCAGTCCTTGAAAGTGTGTCAAGTGCATCTAGATATGCTTCGTCGCCATCCCCCGAATCATCAGAACTCTCCTCTTCGGTTGTGTCTTTTGAGCTCTCGAATTTCGCTATATTTTCTTCTACAGATGAAACATTTTGCGAGCTCAAATCTTCAGAACCTTTGTCAGGAGCTTGCTGTTTAATTTTTGTAATCCTACCGGGCGGAAGCTTTGGAGGCCGTTCAAGAGCTTGAGTTTTTGATTTACCTTCATCCTTTGGTCTTCCCGGAGACTTTTCCCACAGAAAAGGAACAGTCCCGGGGTTCCTCACTGGACCAGATTTCAATTCTGATTTGTAAGTAGGAAGGGGCGGCAGACTGGGAAGAGATTTATCAGTTTTCCTTTTCACATTTTTCTCTGAACTGGCTGTTGATGAGAATCGCCTCACGGATAGAATTGGTTGATTAAAATCCAATTGCTTGTCCTCCATTAGATTCTTCAGCAACATAAAACCAAGTAATCCCTGAAAAGAACAAGCATCTAATAATGAATCGGTGCAGGAAGAAATGAAGCATAGGTTGGTATTTATTGGGCTTCTACAACCTTGTCTACTTTTCTCCTAGTAACCAAAATAGATGAACCCAAAAAAAAATGTGAGCAAATCTTGATTTCCAATTCATTGTAAGGTCTGCCTGGTGAAACATCTTGACAAAGACCCCACCCAAACAATATTTTGGCGTACCGTTCCAATTTTTATTCCATCCCAACCCAAAAAAATAAAGGAAAAAAACAGAACTTAAAATTGAAATTATGCTTCTGAGAAAATCTGATGAAAATTTTTCTTGTTTGTTAATTATGCATTCATGGATCACACTACCATTTTGTTTTCTGGCGCATGTAATGTCTGCTATTCCTAGAAATACAGAGTCTGTCCAAAGAAAACTTGCTGATAATTTAGAGACAGAAAAACAATGATCAAACTAGCCGCATCACAGCTTCTGTGTGACAGTGAATCAACAATTAATTCAGAATTCACAAGTAAAAAATAAAAGATTCTCAGATAAAGATAAGATAAGTAAGAAAGAAAAATAACCATCAATTCCAACTGAATTGACAAGAGCAAGAAACTTTAAACATCAACAAATTACCTTTCAATCACCAAATCAATATATATATGCCCTAAACCCTGACCCTTTGTTTAAATTTTACTTAGAACGAAGCTTTACTCCAATAAGATTCAAGATTGATATTGAATCCTCACATTCAATACAACAGACAAAAACTCAATGAACTATCATTGCAAACAGAAAAACAAAAAAACAAAACAAAAAATGGTGCGAAAAGAATTAATATTTCCTAAAAATACCATCAACCCAGTTCAAGAAACACCAACACATACACACGCAGACAAGAAGAACCGCTTACAGAGTCGACTAAGAAATGGGTGTTTGAGAGAGAGAGAGAGAGTACCTTTGAGAAATACAATAATAGGATCTTGAACTGAACCGATCTGGGTTTCTGGAAGAGAGCATCTGAGTGCTGTAAAACACACAGAAGACAGAATAAAAGAAGAGAGAGAGAGAGAGAGAGAGAGAGACTTGCAGAGAGAGAGAGAGAGAGAAAGAAACAGAGTAGATGGTTTTTGAGAGAGAGACAGACCTATAGAAGTTTAGAATAAACTACTTTGTACGCTTGCTCTTTCATTATTATTTTCTGGCTCTGAGTTTTGAGCTTACCCATTGTTAATGGAAATTCAAATTTCATAGGCTTTTCTTGCTTAAATTAAATTATTATATAATGAGAAAGATACATTTCTATGTACAGTGATAACATAACATAATTGAAATTGTTTTTTATTTTTACATCACTAGTTTTGGATCATGTGACAACCTTTTATTTTATTTGTAGTAAAAAGGAGGGGCAAGTCGTTGTCATTACACGCAAATCATTGTATCCCCCATGCATCATTAGTGTGTGAAATCTTTGAATAATTTCAACCCATTGATGCCTTTCAAAGATTCAACTTGCCTTGGTATTATTGAGACTGTAATTAATGTATCATTTATAATTAATAATAGACTTAAGTATCCATGTGCTCCACCTCATCTATCTGCTCATGAGTGTTTTTTTTCTTTCTTATTATTATTAACAAAAAAGGTTTGACAATAAACAAAAATAAATTTTTGCCAATTTTACTTATAAAAAATAAATAGATAGTTTAAATTGAAAATAAATCAAAAATTTTAAATATAAATTAATAAATTTTAATTTTTTTTTTGTTACAATGGTCAAACTTTTTTTTTTTGTAATTTTTTCAAAACTATGAAATTAATATGATTTATTATGGTATTTGATTATATCATGGTGGTCGCACCTCGACTAATTTTGAGGCCATGAGCCGATCGACCAGGCAATGATGCAGTGTACCCTTTCAGAGTGTCGCACCTCGACTAATTTTGGGGCCATGAGCCGATCGACCAGACAATGATGCAGTGGCCCTCCAATAAGTGTCGCACCTCGACTAATTTTGGGGCCATGAGCCGATTGACCAGGCAATGATGCAGTGGCCCTCCAGTAGTCAGCTAGGGGTGAGATTCGAACCTGAGATCTAGAGAGGAGCATACTGGTAGGTTCTTGGTCCCTTACCCTCAACCAACTGAGCTATTATTATGGTGATGCAGTGGCCCTCCAATAAGTGTCGCACCTCGACTAATTTTGAGGCCATGAGCCGATCGACCAGGCAATGATGCAGTGGCCCTCCAATAAGTGTCGCACCTCGACTAATTTTGAGGCCATGAGCCGATCGACCAGGCAATGATGCAGTGGCCCTCCAATAAGTGTCGCACCTCGACTAATTTTGAGGCCATGAGCCGATCGACCAGGCAATGATGCAGTGGCCCTCCAATAAGTGTCGCACCTCGATAATTTTGGGGTCATGAGCCCGATCGACCAGGCAATGATGCAGTGGCCCTCTAATAAGTGTCGCACCTCGACTAATTTTGAGGCCATGAGCCGATCGACCAGGCAATGATGCAGTGGCCCTCCAATAAGTGTCGCACCTCGACTAATTTTGGGGCCATGAGCCGATCGACCAGGTAATGATGCAGTGGCCCTCCAGTAGTCAACTGGGGGTGGGATTCGAACCTGAGATCTATAGAGGAACATACTACTAGGTTCCTGGTCCCTTGCCCTCAACCAACTGAGCTATTGTTACGGGTTGTTGATCATGACCTCATTGTGGTAAATTTGGCAATAACTAAGGTGATATTTGACTATTTATGATTTAATGCAAGTAAAATTAATATTTCATAAAATTGAATGGTTGAAAATGAAAATTCATATAATATTAAGCTGTTTTGAAATATATAATAGTATTTTTCCAATATTAGACACATACTACATTATTACTTTTTTCCATCATAAAAATTGTTCTAGTAATAAAAACATCAATTTGGATCCATCATTCCAAAGTAACCTAAATCAAATTGAATATGGTGATCTTTATCCGCTATTATGATCCAATATGATCAAATTTTTATGTAATTTGATCTCAATATAGTCATGTAGCTCCTAATAGACAATAGCACACAAGTCTTGGTTTGTATATAAAATCCTACCTTAAAAGTAAGGAGGCTCATGATAACTAAGCAAGGTGATCCCTTATGTTAGCTTTTTTGCTTATATATATATATATATATGGATATACTATTATTTCTCCATACAAGAGTATAAGTTTGATTAAAGAATTAATTATTAGACGCGACACCCTTTTTTTTATAGGACAACTGGGTTAGATGGTTCAGCTTTGCTACTTAAAAACTTTTTGTCTACAAAAAAGAATTGAATTATTGTAGCTTTATTCCCAGAAAGAGAAACCACAATAGGTAGCTTTTATTGGAGTACCACGTTTCATTAATCACCACATGATTTGTACAAACTTTTTTCCTTATGAAGTTACATACAATTATGAGGTTTAAGAAGTGGTTGAATAAGTTGTGTGATGTGGAACAGATACTAAGATAAAATAAGTTAGGTCGGTTTAAAATATAAAGTTTAATTTAGTAAATTTATTTAAAAATTGCACATTATAATAATGGGCGTTCAGATTAAAAGTTTAAAATTAAATTTTCATTGTCCAACAGTCTAAGTATTGCATCATTACCTCCTTCGCTTTCTTCCTGGGCTTTACTCTCCTTCACTCCATCACAACCGCCTACGCAAGCCTCGCAGACCGACACCGTCAGGCCGAGCTTGGCACTAAAAGCATTTCACGGCGTCGGCGAGATCTGAGTTTTGATTTTGTGTGTGTGTTTGTGTTGTTGTTGAAAACTCATGATTCATGTAAGTTTTCAATAAAAAATAGCAGAGTTGTAGTGATATGATGATATGAAACACAAGTTTCAAGATGAATATTTGTCATATGATTACATGGAGATCATCAAAACTCATGGATGTTGTAGATGATCTCATGGTTCAGTGAACCAATTGGTATGATGAATATTATCATTTCAATATTATAATCATTTTTTTTTTCTTCGGTGACGATTTGTTGTTTTTCAACAAATAAAAAAAATTCAACAGATAGGAATTTTAACGGATACAAAATTTGAACAGAAATAAAGAAATTAGACAGATAAAAAAATTTAACAGATAAAAATAATTTTAACAAATAGTCAACGAAAAGTCAAACAAATAGGAAAAAAAAAAAAGTCAAATGGTAAAATTAGAAACAATGGTTTATCACCAATTAAACCAAACAATTACACAAGACCTCTCATCAAATATCTCTTAGATTTAATGTCTTATACCCTTCTTATGTTAGATTTATCACCAATTAACCCTATAATAAAACCATCTTAATATTTAAATTTATAAAATTCAAGCCATATGAAATGGAAATAAAAAATAAGGAATGTCAATAAAAAGCGCATAATAAGATACAATGTTTTCATAAGTTCATTTGCGAATAAAATAAATAATGAATTTATGTCAATGCTCTAGTTATGGTGGTCCGAGTTTTTTTAGAGGAGTGACAAAAAATTATAGGGCATATATATAATTTTAAAGGTTAAAATTTGAAAACTTTTTCATTTACTCTACAATTATGTGTTCCTCAATTCCAAATTAGATCACCTTTCACCAGCATGTTAATCCTTTAATTAATATGAAACATGAATTATATAATACAAGTAAAAATGTTGTGATCTCTTTAAAATTTGAAGTCTCGCTCTAATTTTTTCAATTCTTTTAAATTTTATAAATTATAAAATACACGTGGCACCTTGCAATTAGTCTAAAATCTAATTTAATTAAATTAAATTAATATTTAAAATTTTCACATGAATTTCAATAATATAACTTTACAATCATTTACTTCAAAGACAAAGTTTTAAATTAAAAGACTTTCTATTACCTTCAATGCAAACCCGCTTTTTTAAAATTTTAAATTACACATGTCATAAAGATATCTTTTTTAAATTATGTTATGTACACTTTAATGCTTTATTTATAGAAATATCCAATAGTATAGCAGCTTAAATTGTGGTACCTATTAATAGAAATCATGTATTTTTTTTTTAAAATTGGCATTTTTAGTAACTTTTTTGTTTTGGTTTTTTTATTTTTTATTTTTTCTGTTTTTAGTGATTTTTGTTTTTTAATTTTCCAAAAATTTTAGACTTTTAAATTTTAAAACATTTGGGGAAAAAAAAGAAGTAAAAACCTTGTTTTTTTGATTTTTTAAAGTTTTTTTTTATTATTTTTTTAAATATATAATCTATATATAGCAATTCCGGTTTTAACCAGACCCTTTTTGCATCTTGAACTCGGGTTTCTTGGTTCCATATTGTGTATATATCTTACTTCCCTTGTATCTCCTTAAATTTGGTTGTTGGGTTGTTGTGCTGCGTTTGGGACAGGTTGGTGGCTTAGTTTCCAAACATTTGTCGCTCAGATTTTTGCTCCTTCGCTTGAGTGGCACTTCTTACACTCAAGCAGGCTTTGCAAACTCTCAGTACTTTTGTAGGTCTGCAAAACTACTAAGAGAGTGTATTCTACGCTCGAGTGACGTTTTCTACGCTCAAGTGGGTGTGCGCTCAAGCTGCCATTCTTGCGCTCGAACAATATTCTTCTATCTGCAAAACTACTTGATGTGTGTATTATGTGCTCGAGCATCACTTCTTGCGCTCGAACGAAACAACTTATTGCATCTGACGCTCGTGTGTCACTTCTTGCGCTCAAATGGACTATGCATATATCAGTTTGTAAAAAGGTCATTTTATATCACTTTCTCATATCTACTTTTCTTCAACCCTAAAATTGAGACTCTCTCTCTCTTCTTTTTCATCTTGATTTAGTGGTTTCTACACCCTATTCTGTTTGATAAAAAGATAGAGCATCTCAAGAGTTTTATTCTCATCCGAAAAGAATTAGATTTCGGCGTGTTTGAAGTGTCTCCATTCTCTCTCTCGGCTTCTAAACTTGAGGTAGGAATTTTTTCTACACCCTCATATGGTTTTTAACTTGGTTATTCGTTGATGTGTAAGAAACAATGGAACTTGAGGTGATTTTGAACAAACCTAGGGTTTTGGTTTAAAATCAAAAGAGGGGCTTTTAAGTGTATGTGTTAAAAATGGTTATGGGAGTAAATGTGAGGTTGTATTGTGGTAAATTTGGTGATTTTGATATCCGGGGTGGATTTTGGAATAAAATAGAGTTTTTCCCTAAAACGGTTCAAATTGTTATTTTATATAAACTAATGAAATTGGTGTTGA